GAGAGAGAGAGAGAGAGAGAGAGAGAGAGAGAGAGAGAGAGAGAGAGAGAGAAAAGACAAGAAAGTAAAAGGAAACCACTAGGAATGAAGAAGAAAAACATGAGGTGGAATTTAGAGTAATTGAGGAAAGAAATGTAATCAAACACATTACATGTGTGCATGAAAATATTATATAACCTCTTAGGTTGCACAGCTCATAAACCCTTAAAAAGTGAAGAAAAGGTACACCAGTGTGTCCTTGGTTTGTTACACACTTCTGAGTGTGTTGAAATGTATATGCTTTGTCCAGATAATGGTTTAAAACTTAATACTTTATGACCTTTACCACGAGACAACAATGAATGCAATAATTTCTGTGCTTTATCTATTGTTAGAAATTTTGTGCAGCAATAAGTACAATTCACATCAAAAGGGATGATAACATTGGGCCCACAGAAGAGCAGCCACAAAATGAAAAAAAATGTGTATGATGGAATGTAAAAATTCCCCAGATCTGGCTACCCATAGCAGATTCCCCAGTTCATGATGGAAGAGAAATGGAAGGGCTCACAAATAGCCACATGCTGGTCATAGGCCAAGGCTGTAAAAACATGAAGTACTGAGGAAAAAACAAAATGGTTTAGTATCTTTTTTAGAGCACTCGATTAATATGTGTTTTAATATTGGCATGTTAGAGGAATTTTAACTATAACCACAATGCAACCTAAGATAATAAATTCATTTAGGGAATTATAGGCACAATTTATCTTTTTTTCTTTCTGTTGTTCTTGAGGCAGGGTGTTCCTGTTTCAGAGGTTGGCCGAAAAGTATTTATGTAGAACAGATGGGTCACAAACTCATGAGGAATCTCCTGCCTCCACTTCCCGAGGGCTGGGATTACAAAAAAACAGATATGTCTAACTTGAATCATTTCTTTATTGATAACTTCAAATAAAGTTGTTTTTAGTTTGGGTATAAAAGTCATGAAGATTAAATTCAATGTATAAATTGAAATACAATCTTCTTTTGAGAACTTTTTATTTCTCTTTTTTGCTCTATGGTACCTGAATGTTTTGCTGTGTCTTGGGGGCCAGAAGGAGAGTCAGCTCACTTCATCTGCAGTTGATCTTAAGTGTTTTAGTTCTGTGGGTTCTCTAGAATTATTTTGGATTGTTTTCCTAAGAATGACCGTTCACAATTATGGAATCCTCCCATCTCCTTTCCTAGGGCTGACTGCCATATGATGTCTCTCAACCCAAGGAGAAAACATGCAATGGCAGGAATGGACCAACCAAGAATTCTCTCTTAAGATATCAAGAAATGATTCAAATTTTATAGCACATGGCAAAGGACACCCATGAAATAATTGAGTCACAAGAGACAGGAAACCTACAGTACTTCTATGAAGATTTTCTTCCCATCCTGCTACAGCTGACTACAGAGACCACTCTCTAGCTGCTACAGAGACCGCTCTCATAAAGTAAAATTTCTTTTTACTGAAAATAGGTTTAATAAGTTTTCATCCAAATGTATATGACATTTGGAATTTCCTGCAGATTTTTTTAAAAGCATGTACACTGTAGCTGGTATTTTTAATTGCATTCTTTTTTATTAACAGATTCTAAGTAAGTATAAAATTCAGTTCTCTTTAATTTACACACATGAATATTGAGATCCCAACTCAGTGGACATGCCTGATATAAAAAGGAAAACAACAATCTCCAACCATCAAAACAAGGCTAGCTCTGGAGAATTGCATTAACTCCTTATAGGTGATAAACATACTGTAGGTTTGAGTCAATAGTTTTGATTCCTTTACTATTAATATTAATTCTAGTAAAAGGCAGCTTTTTATTATTCATCTGAATGCACTATTAATTTCTTCCACACTTTTCTTATGGCATTCTTCATGTCCTTATTCCTAAAAGTATAAATCATAGGATTAAGCAAGGGGGATAGCATGGTGTAAAATATTGCTACCATTTTGTCAAAGGAGAAGGCAGTAGGCGGCCTTGCATATGTAAATATACACGGGACGAAGAACAAGACCACCACAGCAATGTGGGACCCACAAGTAGAGAGAGCTTTCCATTGCCCTTCAGAACTGTGAAATCTCAGAGACAGCAAGATAAACCCATAGGAAACAAGCAACAAGGAGAAGATTATGATGCAGATAAACCCACTGTTGGCAACCACCAAAAGGCCAAAGATGTGAGTGTCAGTGCAGGCCAGCTCCAGCAATGGGTACAAGTCACATATGAAGTGATCGATGACATTGGGTCCACAGAAGGGAAGCTGCAAAGTGAAGATAATTTGTATGATGGAATGTAAGAACCCCCCTGCCCAGGCCACCCCCACCAGTGTGCCACAGAGCCTCCTGGTCATAATAGAAGAGTAGTGTAAGGGCTTACAAATGGCCACATAGCGGTCATAGGCCATGGCTGTCAGAACAATCACCTCAGCCCCACCAAAGAAGTGTTCAGCAAAAAGTTGTATCATGCATCCTTCAAAGGAGATGGTTTTTCTCTCATATAAAGAATCCACAATCATTTTGGGTGTCATGGCAGAGGAGAAGCTTGCATCCAGTAAAGACAGAAAAGCCAGAAAGAAATACATGGGGGAGCCCAGCAGTGTAGGGCTGCAGACAATGGTCACCACAATTGTCATGTTGCCCCCAATTGTTGCAATGTAAACACATAAACATATGATAAATATCAGTTTTTGAACATTTGGATTCTGTGATAGTCCCAGGAAGACAAACTCAGTTACAAAACTCTGGTTTTGCATGGTTCCCAAGGAAAAGATGAATGCCCAATAGAGAGCATATCATTTGGCAATGATGATAAACATTTGCTTCAATATAAAATATATAATCCCATTTATAATTTTGGGATCGATGATTTATTATAGCTAGATCCAAAATAAGATTGAGTGCTTGATTTCATTGAGAATAGAAAAAAGAGAAAAATTTACAGGGTGATAGTTGAAGATCAGCCAGATTGAGGCAGAGATAAATTGTAGAATACTTAAAATCTAGAGCTCTGCACACATGAAAACAGAAACAGTTGCATGTGTGGTATAAGATTGACAATTTGTTATATGTAATTCTGTTTGACAATTTACTTGAGATCTGAAGTGAATTGATGGAAAACCTTCCGGCCTTTTGCGCATGTTATGAGGATGTGAGGACTCCATAGTCGTGTTTTCCACGGTCAGGAAAGCACATAGGAATGACTAGATAATGGAAAAATGTATCTGTAAAGTGAAGAAATAGCCTGCATTTTAGGAGACAAATGAACATACGAATACTTCTTCAACGTTTAAAAAACATCTATACTGAATATGGCTTTTAATAAATTTTTATCACTTCTCAGACTTTTGACTAAAGTCAAGAGTAGTACATGTCATTATGAGTTTGATATGAAATTCAATTAGTTTTTATGGAAGAGAAAGACATATAGAAATGCCCAGATACAGGCTTAAGCATTAAATACAGTTTTTTTAATCATTATCTGAAACTAGAACAGAAGTTCATAAAAACAAATAATGCCACTCCTGAGTTTTGTTCTCATGGTTGATAATACAAAGTAAGCATTCCACAGGACCCTCGCTACTGTTTTTCCTGCTTTATTTGTAAGAAAATTATGCTTCAGGAGATTAAGTTGATATCAATGGAAATGTCCAATGTTATTCAAATATTGGACAGAACTTCTGTCCAAGCTTAAGCCTGGTCAATTGAATGAACAGGGAAAAAGGTAACAATTTTTATTTTATCCAGAACTTCAGAACAGAGGAAGCATTACAATGCCTCTTTCTATATGTAAATGTTAAGATTTCTCAATAGTTTATTCAGGTTTGAATGTGACATATTAATAAAACACAGACAATGATAAAGAATTAGAAATTAGTGGTCTAGTAGCCAATATATGAAAGTTGCCAAGAGCTATGTAATTGCAGAAGACAAAGAGTGAATTGAATTTTACTGAGGGCTTTATTAATATTTTTCCAAAGATTTATAAATCTTGTTTGTCTAGCCATGTATAGTTTCTAATGACACATATATCTGAAGCATAATTGACTTTCTTAAGAGGAAGAAATCTCCAGTTAAAATATAACTTCTCATCTCCTATGACTATGATGTTATGTCAAACTTGAAAGTGTGACAATGCTCTCTATGGTAACTGTGAAATTTTTAAACTTATTAAGTAATCTAATAAAATGCCTTACCACAGAAAGATTTTCCATTCATTTCTACTTGTGTACAGAGATGAAAAGAATGATTGAGTTCTTGCACACTTTACTGACATCAGTCAAGAAGCATACGTTTGTGAAGATATGTACACGTTCATACCTGTTTGTTAAAAATAGGCAAAGAAAAGAAAAGAATAATATTATGTACTGTGGAAGTCGAAAAGAATCTTTTAAAAATAAATTCTACTTTCAGGTAATAGAAATCAATTTAACTATGAATAAAACTAAAAAAGATGCAAAATGTACATTAGTTTCTGTCCTTGGTTCTCTGATTCATTTCTCCTGGGTGTCTGCACTACGAATTCCAAAATCATTTATAAACTATCATCAAGTAACAGGAGTATAAAACAAGCTTCAAATGATCATGGAGTCAGCTAATACCTATGTGTCATTGAGGACGGTATACCAATAGATGACTCAGGGTCTGACTAGTCCAGGCTAGGGCTAAAGAAGGAAAGAGATTAGGGAGAAATAAATCAGAAAACCACCTCCTGGCTTTTTGTTCTGTGGCTTTGAGCAGATTACGAAGTTCTAAAAACTCTCAAAGCCTTATGTGACATTTCTGTGCTTGAACTTGATAAAAAAAAAAAAAAAAAAAAAAAGTCTCTCAATTGGTTCTTAAGAGAACCGGAAAACACGGAATCATAAATGCAGTCAGAATATCAGGAGAAAGTGTTGAGACACCTCACAGTCAGAAGGAGGGCATTACACTCCTAATTTCAGCTGTACTATCACCACTGATGATAAATATTTTCCCAATCTTCATATATGTTTAAAAATGTTAAGATTTTATTTTGGCCAGTCACAGCATAATCACTAACAATAATCTAAACATCTGTCATCCACTCACAGATAAATGTATGACATTGCCTTCAGAACTCCTCCTCCAGATAGCTTCATTGTATCAAGAAAATCAAATTGACAGGTACAGTGAGAGAAAGGCAACACATATTAATTGAATAATTCTTATTACCTACATCCTTAACAATTTTTCTCAATTAAGCTTTTTCAAAATAAGAGTTAACATAAATAATGTTTAGTTTCTACTATCAAATGTCCAGCAATGCCAGCTTGCTCCTGTAGTAACCATATCACTTAACCTAAGGTACTTCTACATCTTCTGAAAAAAAAAAGTGGAGACAGTAACACAGATCAAGTTCAGAGACCTGTAAAAGTCCACCAGACAATAACAGTAACCACATGTTGCAAAAACATACATCAACGATGATAAAAAATACTGATGTCAGAATGATTTTAAGTAGCATTTACATAAAAAGTAAAATTTTAATTAGCATGAAAATAGAACACATCCTTTAAAAAATTATGCCATCTTCAAATGTAACTCTTAAACGCAACAAAAGTGGTTCATTCATCTAATTATTTTGTAAAGCATATGAATAATAATTCTGAATGTGTAAATGTTTGAAACATTTAAATTAGTAACTTCTGCTTTAAAAAATTACTATAAAGTTGAAATGAGATAGGGAAAAAATTTAATGGAAAATGGTCCACTAGAGATACTAGTAAAAGGGAGAGTTGCTTAATTAAGCATAGAAAGATGTTTATATAAATCAAACATTTATTCCTCACCCATCCAGGTAAGAATGTTCCTTTACATGACAATCTGGGAACCACATCCCTTCAGATTTCAGTACCTGCTCGCTCTTGGACTTCACTGATGCTCTGATGACTGCCCCAAATGCTTCAGATGTCATAATCTTGCTATTTCTGGAATGAGATGGGGCGTAATACCATTTCTGTTTCCACTGAGTCATTCCAGAGGGTACCTGAAGCCTCTCCTGGTGTCTTCTAATTCATCTGATTTAGTGCAGTACTCCAGACGTTCAGTTTTCCTGAGCATTCTAAGGCAGGACCCTAGCATTGTACAAAAACATCAAACACATTTAGGAAGAGTATGTGGACACATTTAACTAGAATACTCCACTCTGTGACTTGTGTCATTGTTCTTACCTTAGTGTCCACTCTTATGAAGTTGGCTGCTGTGTGACTGTGGACGTAGTAAATGCCATGTTGTACATCAGTAAGTAGAAAGAGGACAGCTTCCCATGCCTCCACATCAGGATTCTAAAGACATTCTCTGAAAATTCACTGTTTAATCTTAAAAATGAGGAAGTGTTAAAGGATGAAAATATGTTTAAAAATAATTCTGCTGGTGAGGTAAAATAAAACATGTGCTTGCTACATTTTTAACTGATTTGTATTTAATTCACAGATAAAATTTAAATGTAATATTAATTTCATTAAACGTATAAGAATGACTGCCTTTCACTCCCTTAAAAATTCTGATTATTTTTAAATGTCTTCAGTTTTTATTGGATGTTTATTATGCATCAAGTCCTCTTCTGCAGGTTTCATATATACTATTTTACCTGCTTCTCTCACCATTGACCATAGCAGCCACAGTCTAAACAGTACAGCCTAATTATAAATCCCCTCTGAAAATGAAATAAAAGAATTATAAATCTCACTTATGTCAACCAATTTCTTATCAGTTCTAGTGATGAGACTCTCTTGTTTTATATGGTGTAGGTTTCCTCAGTGTCTGATTAAACTCTAATGTTCCTTCTAATTTTTTCTTTTCATCTCTTACAGAGTGGAGGGGCATCTTTGGCAATCCACTGCCCCTTATGTCCTGTCTACAGCAGGTTATCAAAGAGAAACAAAAGAAGCAAAAGTTTCCTTTTTGATTTACAACTGGAATTTAAAGAGTTTTCCATGGGATTTGAGACTGTGTAGCCACACCCACCCCAGAGCTTGGAAACTTTCCATTATTGTGATTTTCCAAGACATAATTTTGAATGTTGTTACTTCCTCACTTGTTTATAAATTTCTATGTCCCCAAAGAATTAGAGGATTTTTTTTCTTTTCTTTGTACTTCTCCTGCATTGCGATTTGAAGAAAATTCCAAATATAAGAGTTGTGTTCTGAGACAAGATTGTACCCATGCACAAAAAATAAAAATAAAAAAAATGGATATTCTGACACAGTAGAATGTTTAACAAAGAATATAACATTTATGTATGTACAGAAATAGTTATTGGTTGGTCAAAATGTTGAGTTTTTATCCTGGAAACGAATTTGGAGATCCTTTGACTTTAAAACTAAATGCAAAATTTTGGCAATTAATTCTTTTCTTTTATTGTAGAGGTGAGAACATAAGGCTAGCCAGTGTCTCGTTAGCAGAACATAGCACTGAGCCTGAAGCATGGTACTTATCTCACTGGAAATTTTGGCAATTAATTATTTTATTGTGGAGGTGAGAACATAAGGCTAGCCAGTGTCTCGTTAGTGGAACATAGCACTGAGCCTGAAACATGGTACTTATCTCACTGGAAATTTTGGAAAAGACCATAGAAAGAAATACATCTGATTTGTTCATTTTAAATGTCACATTCTACTTTCACACTTCACAGAGAAGAGTAGAATTGAAGTGACACATAAAAAAATTAAAATCTGGAGCATGATCTCTTCAATAGTCTATAGAGTCAAACTGAAGTGGTTTTTGTTTTGTCTTGTTTTGTTTGTGTTTTGTTGTGTTTCTTTTCTTCTGTTAGTTCAAATTTCACAATTGTGTCCTAATCCAAAAGAATACCTGGCATGACCACACAGCTAATGCATTTTGTAGCCTTGCTGGTCACTTCGAAACATCCAGATTTTCTGTTTCTATGATTTCCTTTGCTTAGTATTTTATTGCCTATTTTAGTGAAAGGAGTAGAGCTAGATTACAATTAAATGTCTTCTGATATGAAATAGGGCAGATAATGTTAAAAAAAATTACCACATTGTTCCAGTTAGAAACCTGTCTTGAAAGAACCTGAGGAAGATAATTCCAGATACCCCTCCCTCAAAACCACCCAGTGTTTTGCATAGATTTCTAAAGGTTTGGGATGAGCTTCATAGGTGT